GAAAGAGGTTGTTTTTCTTCGAAATGCAGTTTCAACTAGTAATTAAATGATACGAAACACAATTAGATGCTTAAGTTTACATGATTTTGATTTTTAACTTTCAAACATTTTTTTGATTTTCTTTGCTTTGAAAATTAGATTTTTGTATTAATATCGAGTAAGACGTTAATTATGTACTTGTAATATGAAAACATGTATGTCATTTTAAATCTCAAACTCATACCATTACTAGTTGAGAGCCGCTGTTATATGTAGGATTACCTTTCATCAGTCCCCCGGAGGGACAGCGGTAAGCTTACAGACTTACAACGCTAGCATCCGGGGTTCGATTCCCCGGAGTGGACTCAGCAGATAACCCAATGTGGCTTTGTTCTAAAACAAACAAATTAATCTTCCATCAGTTTAGCTTGGTCAGTGATAGAGCTTTACATCAAATAAACTTTCACATTTCGGTCTTTAATTTGTTTGCTTTCATACTTTCAAGTTGGATTAAGCACTCAAGAGTTTTTAGGTGTGTGCTTAAACAGAATTTGCATATATCTGGTGATGCAGTTTTTTAAATAGGCTAAATGACTTTAAGAAGTTATATTTTAATGCTACATTATTCATAGCACTACTTGTTTTAATGCTACATTATTCATAGCACTATTTGTTTTAATGCTACATTACTCATAGCACTATTTGTTTTAATGCTACATTATTCACAGCACTATTTGTTTTAATGCTACAATATTCCTAATACTACTTTTTTGCGTATTCAATCAAGATGACATTTCAAGTTCATTGATTTACTAGGCTTAGCAACTTACAAGAAATGGAAGAAGTTGGACTTTACCTCACAGACTTATGTATACATGATCGAAGTCGAGAGATTGTCTTGGCTGGATGGCAACATGGAGCTCGTCTCGAGGTGTCATACGAAAGGGTATTAAATTTTTCTAATGATTAATAACGTACATTTTTCTTTTTCCCGGAAAACATTATTGAAACGTATTTACGTACTACCATTGGAAATTATTCCCTATTTTTGTCATATGATTAGAACCATAATATCTCTGTCGTTTCAGTAATTAATTACAAATATCCGGAAAAAAGATTAGATAACCATTAAGATAATAAATATTTCCTGTGTTGATCTTTAAATTTGCTCATAACATATTTGAGGAATATAAATTTGACGACTATGCTATTTTATTAATTTCGCATTTAGTTATTATAAAACTCTATAATTTATTAAATGAAACCAGAAAAAGTACTTATGATATTTTATAAACAAAGTTATTGACATAGCTTACAGTTTCATGGAAATACAACTACAACATATTATGTTTTCGAGTTTGGTGCCTTAAGATGTACATTTTAATAAAGTTGTTACTGCGAACTCTTACACTATCATAGTGTTATTAAGGTCTAATGGTGTTAAAATTTCATAAAGTTGTTAGTGTGAACTTTTACACTTTCATAGCATTAGGCTTTAAGGTGTTAAATTTTCATTAAGTTATTATGTGAACTTTTATACTTCCATAGCGTTATTAGGCTCTAAGGTGTTAAACTTTCATAAACCTGCTACTTTGAACTGTTACACTCCAGTGAAGATGCTACTGTATAGTTGTTAGTTTAATGAAATTGTTATAGTAAGATGAGATTTTTACGAACTTGCTGCTGTGATGCTAAAAAGTAAAACGGGTGTAAAACTTTCAGAAAATAATTCTAAATCAAAATGTAAAACATGAAGTGAGAGTATTTTTACGTTAATTTTATGTCTTGAAACATTTAATTTCAAATCCAAGATAACTAAACTAGAAGAGTATGATATAAAAGTATTACAAATGGTTGTACTTAACCTTCAACTTTTCAAGGTTAATTTAAAGTAACTCACGAGTAAAATAATATACTCACAAAATATATAACCTTTCACTCTTAAAAGATGAATGATAAGTGGATAAGCGGGAAAATGGCCCTTGATTCGTTTATTACACTACATTCAATTAACACATTGAAATGTTAAAATATTTCTTAATCTTTAAAGTTAGCATTTCTATCTCTTAGAAACCAACCATATTTTAATAGATGAAATAATTATACGATTTACAATGTGCGAAATAAGTTATTATTTTCATAGATATTTTAATTTACATTAATAACATCCATACTCAAAATGCTCAAAGAAGCCATAACATCCTTATAAGAGCTTCGTGTGCTGAACATGCTCAGAAACTCTTGCACGCTGCAGTCTGCCTGCAAAATATATTTTGAATCTACTGAACATGCTTAGAAGCTCTTGCACGCTGCAGTCTGCCTGCAAAATAAGTGTTGAATACGTTGGATATGCTAAAAAACACCTATTTTGTAGGCAGACTGCAGCGTTCCAAGTTTATGTAGTGTTAGCATATATGCTAGTTACATCAGCAACGTTACTTTGAACCCTATTTATGATCGTTATTCAGCACATATGGACTGTCAATGAATATTAAAGCTGGACTATTTTAAAGGAGTCTCAGGACTGTAGTCTGATTAGTGAAAAATAAAGTAACATGTTTCTTGTTCAAACATTTATATTGTTAAAACATCTAGATGACAACATCCTTAGTTTAAGATTTAGGAATACGCAATACAAATATGTCACATTTTAAAAGTAACTAACTGCGAGGTTAAACTAGTTAAAATAATCATTGTTAGAGGGCTCTTTCGTGTCTAATTTCTTTTATTAGGAAATCGTAATGGTGAGTTATTATAAATATTTCAGCTACAACAACGTTCGAAAGACTAGGAAACGGATCACTGTCTCACATGAGTATAAAATTAAACAGAAACAAAACGTTTAAATACCTATTTCTTTATTTCCAAGTTTCAAATTCTGTCTAGCCATACATAGTTTTAATCCTTAGGATGTCGTTTGTTAAACACAGGATTCACACAAGGATCTTCTCAGAAATTATCAACTTTATTTTAACGTGTGCACTCTACGGGCACAGGTACTGAAGCTGGAGTAAGAGTGAATGCTCAGATCTTTTTTTTTATAAATCACGATCGGTTAAACCTGCAAAAGGTCTAGAATGAATGATAATTTATAACGTGGTAGAGCACAAATTAACAAACATATATAGTCTAATCATTTAATATAAATCTGCAAAATTACAAAAATTGCAGATATTACAAGAACAGAAGGTTACTTTTCGCATAAGTTTATATATTTGTGAAAAATTATGATTTTGATATGAATTTGTACAATTTCATCAATTCGCGAGGATCATTCCTGGTCACAAGTTAACCGATAAGGAGGGATTGCTCGAAAGAGACAAAAATAAGCTGTTAATCACTGTGATAAGACAATAAAATGTCTCCCGTAAAGCAAGAAGAACGAAGTAGAAGGTTGGAAACCAACCTGAAGATGAGAGATGAGTGGAAGAAGAAAGGTAACGACCTACTTTATTCCATGATTCCAAAAGCTGTAGCAGAACGGCTAGCCAATGGAGAAGACCCTATCACAACTTGTGAGGTATAAAGTTTCTATAGTAACGCTATTAAACAAAAATAAATTTTAAGGCGATTTACAATAAACAATTTATAACATATTATATAAATATATACATATGTATACGCATATCTGCTTCAGGCTCAGATACTTTAGGAACTTATTATATAAGTATATAAGTAGCGGTTTAGACGCCAAAGATGGCGATGCATTAGGGCTCAATAGGACCAATGTGTATGAGAAAAATCAAGCAAACTGCAGATGATTTTCCAGCATTCCTCTTAATTTACCCATTTCAGATTCAAATATATAGGTGTATGAGAAACAAAAAAGTTCTTTTTTTTTTTTGCCTTGTCATTTCATTCCAGCCCGATGGACTTCCGGAAAGTTAGAGAATTGTGTTCTTTCTTCCGATTTATAGTATATAATGGACGTTTATTTATCAATTCATGAATACTGGTGTGTAAATAAAGTTATTATTTGGAAGTGCAAATTTACTAGCCTTTTAAAGACAAAACAAGTCCAAGAAAGAAAGACAAATAATCATTTCGCTACCTGGCTCTTGGGATACTCACTTGATTAAGATCATTGACTGGAAGTGACATAGTATACTAGTTCAAGAGGTAATCTGCTGCTGGCAAGAGTTTCCTCGGATGATGAATATTCTGGTCCAGAACATCAGAAAATATGATATTTTGTGAGAAAAAGTACTAGTTAATGTATATGGTGGATCATCTTTAAAGTAAAAATCATATGCTATTTTTTACTCCAGTTTACAAAATGCTCTAAATCCTTTTGTAAAACAGTAGCAACATCATCACAGCCAGAAACTCTCAAGACCTTAATATCATCAGGAATTGTAAGTAATTTATTGATTATTCCTTCATAAATGTCATTGACGTTGATCAAAAAAGAGCAACGGTCGTAACAATGAGCCCTGATGTACCCCAGTCGTGACATTAATCTAGTTTGACTGAATTCCATTAATAACAAGTCTCTGATTTCTTTCATTCAGCCATTTTTCTATCCAATGATTTAGCCCCCAAACCTACTGAAATCGTTTTAGCAAGGCTTTTATGTGACACTTTATCAAATGCTTTCTGAAAATCCAAATACATCAAATCCACACCTTTATTTTCATCTAGATAAGCAGTAACCTCTTGAATAATGTCAAAAAATGAATAAGGTAAGATTTTCCCCAAGTGAAATCATGCAGACTAACCAACAATATTTTAAACTAACAATTGTTTAAATGGAATCATGTAATAGACTTTCATACATTTTTCCCACCACCGATGTAAGACTAATATGCCCATAATTATCATGACAATTTTCGTCACCTTTCTTAAAAAGAGGAGTAACATTAGCCAGCTTCAAATCCTCTACAACCTGCCCACTATTCAACGTAACGTATTAAAATGAGTAGGGTAATTTTAGAAGTTTGTCCAAAGTCGAAAGCTGTGGACGAAATCCAGCACGAATACCCGACAAGAGTTAATGGGCAGCAAGAAATCTTTGTAGTCACTTAACTAAAATTCGTTATAAGGTTTTACTGAAGACACTGGTAAGACTGTTTGGACGTTAAGAACCAAACTTTTTTGAAAGCTTGTTAGGTTTTAGGAAGAATAAAACATTAGAATTCTCCCAGGAATCGACGTAAACTCCAAAACGAAGAAGAAAGGTATAAAATGTTGCAAGTAGAAAAAGGAACCTCCATGGAGCATGCTTGAGATGAAAGTATGTAATCACGCATGAGCCTGGAAAAGTGCTGTGTCTACTCTTCAGGAGGAGTTGGATATTCTGTACTGCACTCACATAACTATCATCCAGAGCATTTCTTGCACTAGGGATGTTTGCATGAAGTGAACGATTAGTCAATTCAAGAACATGTGTCGTGTTTTCGAAGTTGCTGTTCCGGAGTTTTAATATTATTTTCAGGGAATAAAACAGAAATATTTTGCATTTTCAAGTTGGGGAACATTTTGTCTAGTAAGGTGTTTAAATCTGTTTCGCGTTTTGGGAAGCATTTGAAGAATGAAGAAATTTTTTGAAAACCTTGCGCCATTGCCACCTCGTCACTGCTCGTTCGTAATTACGCTCAATCCGTTGGAGGACTTTATGATGTAATAAAATAAATGGAGAATTGACGATAGTCTCGGAGTAATGACGAATAAAGTCTCAAACGATCCACTGCACGATGGAGCAAAGCTCATCTATGTGGTGTATGTTGATAAGTAAGCTTTGGGGTGTAAGGAACTGGCAGAGGCGAGAACATTTGCAGGTAAGGATCTCAATGAATTACCAATAGCAGAAAGATTCGAATCCAAAGTTGATATATTTGGAACCAGAGTAGTGGGATCATCAAGTTTTGAATTTGATTTTGCTCGGTATCTGTAGGAATATGTAAGATGGCCTAGATCTGTGGTGCGCAGACTATACGACATACCACCGAGGGGCGTATAACTATGATTATAGAAGGATATGTATCATATCTGAACGTACAAGTTGAAAAATAAAGATGTTTCAGAAACTCCAACACAAATACCAGTATTATTAAGAAATATATAATCAGAAGATTATATATCTTATATTAAATATTAAATATTAAGCCTTTCAGCCGTGGGGGCGTTATAATGTGACGGCAAATCCCACTATTCGTTGGTAAAAGAGTAGCCCAAGAGTTGGCGGTGGGTGGTGATGACTAGCTGCCTTCCCTCTAGTCTTACACTGCTAAATTAGGGATGGCTAGCGCAGATAGCCCTCGTGTAGCTTTGCGCGAAATTCAAAAACAAAACAAACAAAAAAGTGTTACAATCGATCCGTCATCCTCCCAAAAACTTCTCTAAAACGCTATTTATATCTGCACCATAAAGATTTAAAAGTTACAGTTTCAAAATTCAACACTGAAGAAGCATTTCAAATCAATATGACTAAAAGTTGTGATAAAGTCACATAAAGTGCAAATGTTTTTCTCCCCTTTTCTCTTAATTTGTCGGAGACAAAAATAGATCTGAAATGTTATTTTTCTACTTTTCTGATTTTAAATCTGAAATGATCAAATTAAGAGGAAGATAATAGGTATATAATGAAATAAACTTAAAAAATATATGTATACATTTTGGAAAAAAAATAAATGATATTCACTAACCTGAAAAGGCTCCCTGCAATAAAAACATTTAGTTATATTCAAATATTATGTGAACATCTGCTTATCAATATGTATTTATGTTAGATATTTTTTTGGAGTTTGTTTGGTCAAGTAGAAGTATTTTACCATTTTTCAGAATTAAATTTGTCAGTTAGTAACTCTAACATTTGCCCAAATTCTAGTAACGAAAATAACTTAACCTTCTATTTTACAGGAAGCGAGTCTGTTTACTTGAAGTTTAAATAATTCGGTATAAATGATATTAGCTCAGCTCCTCTTTTAATTCTATTAAAACTTCGCTTACTGTTAGTGAGAACATATAACTTTTAAAGTAGAACATTAAAACTATCTGAAATGTTTACTCAAGATTCTTAGAATGGATATTTATTTATGTAAAATGAAAGTACTCAAGGAAATGAGAATTGGGTAGATGTTTATTGCTGCGTTTAAAAATAAATTGACGTTGAAAAAGTGAAATAATTCACTTCTTCAATTCAATAATTGATGATTATATAGCAAGAGAAATGAGGTAACTTAGAAAGTGGGTAACACTGACTTACTCACTTTTTTCCAAGTCCTTTGATGAGGTGACGGTATTATTCAGTGAAGTTGTCGACTTTTCTGATCTCTGCTTGAGACTAAGTGCTATGGAGGCTGTGTCATGTGTCAACGATGTTTACATACTTTTTGACCGTATCATCGACAACTACCAAGTTTTTAAGGTTTGGCTGAAAATCGATAATTGTTTTCTCTAAACAATCCAAAAGATTAATTGTCACAGTAACAAACATTCTTTAATCAATGCTATGAAATACTAATCATTAAAGATGAAAATCAGTCTCTTCTATATGTATAACTCTACAATGACTATATTTTCTTGCTAAGAAACAATGATATTGCTAATGCAATTTGGGTTAGAATTTGATTTTGTATAACAGGTTTATCGGTAATTTTACTTTTAGATAAAGACAAATATATGAGTAATATTGACATCTATATTGAAGAATCTGCATCTATTTAGATTACAGGTAGCTCAGTAATCATAGGTTAGATATTTAAACTTTGACAAGAGTTATATCTTTATAATATTAGGTTAATATCTTCCTTTGAGGTATATGATTTGGCCATTTAGTTTACATTCCCTAACGATTCTTTTCAGGTTGAAAATACCATTATCAGTTTTTCTTACACCATTATTGCCTTAAACGTTTACTATTTAACTGATTCTGATATGTAAGTGAGCATTAAAAATTCATTTTTAACTGAACTATTTTATGCTAGAATTATTTATTTGACGTCCGATATCGGAGTCTATTACGCACAGATTCGTTTTCAAGTTCTTAAAATTTCATAGACTCTTGAAGAAAAATAGTGTTACAGCCCAATTTATTTTCTACGCTAATTATTTGATTTCGTCAGTTTGTTTCAATTATTTTGCTCGCGTAGAAAACAAAACAAAATAAAAACTCCAAAAATCTAGGCCTTTCTTTAATCTTAGCTTGAAAACAAAATTCTTAAAGCAATTCAATAGTGGAAAGTTTGACCACTGTCATCAAATTATTTGTTATTATTAGACCATTTGGCTAACATTATTCATTCTATTATCCTGTCTATATATTTTCGAAAATGTGTTATTGAGAAACATGCATATTAAGGTATATGTTGTGTTGTAAAACTAACACATTTTAACTGCCCTTATGAAGGTGGAGACTGTGGGTCAAGTATATATGTTAGTAGGCGGTGCTCCAGAAAGACGTCATGATCATGCTTGTCACGTAGCAAATGCCGCCATTGATATGCTGAAGCAACTCCATCTGGTAGATAATAAACATTGTGGAGAAGGAGTACGTGTTCGAATAGGTACAACTAATTAAGAAAGGAGTAAAAAATTAGTTTTCATGTTGTATCTTAATATTTAATATTTTGTTTGAGAAGAAGTTAAAACTCTATCGTGTGCTTGGATTGTTAGTATTACTATTACAGCTGAAATTATGTCATTTGATGTGAAATTTTGAAAATATATAAATGCTAAAAGAGATACCCATGTTTTGTGTAATGACCAGTTAGTTTCGTCTAAACAGTGAACAGCTAAAATATTTATCTGCATGGTTAGTGATAATAGTTTTTATTCTAATTGTACCTATATTGGTTAAAATGTTAAAATACTTGTGCGTTAAACTTTTTGGTGTTTTTATGTCTTCTAATTACATATTTAAAGGTAAGTTTCCATAGCTGATTTAGGCTCACCAAATGATGTTTTAATTTAATCCTCGAAGTAGTATATATTGTATTGTGAAGTATATTGGTATTTTCAACTCTAATGGTTTGATTTCTGTACTATGTGGCAGCGAGTGCTTTACATTGAATTCAATATAACTGGTTAATTAGTATTACAAAATGGCATTCTGCAAGCTACATCCTATTTTCAGTTTTAGTTACTTATTTTAATATATTTTTAATGCGATAGAAATATATCGCTTGTATTTTTAAAGTAAAAAGTAATTATTTCTGTAAGTCATCTTATACTTTATTACTTTTTACAGCTTCAAACTTACTACAAATAAGACAAAATTGTTATAATTAATTTACTAAAGTTTATAATATCTTTGCGAGGTATCCACTCTGGCCCTGTTGCAGCAGGAGTAGTTGGTAGAAAGTTGTTTAGATATTGTTTGTTTGGAGACACTGTTAATACAGCGGCAAGAATGCAGAGCCATGGAGAGGTATGTGTTGAATGTTATTCACAATTACACTTTTCGAAGTGATTTTTTTTATAAGTTAAAATACAATATGTAATAATAGAACTTTTCATTTAATTATTTCCTTGTAAGTAAATTTACACACCTGCCTTTCTTAAAAATTACTCCAATTAGCAATAAAATTTATCGTACACATAAAAGGGTTATTGACTTCTGTTTAAAGTTTTATATGATCTGTGTTAACTCTGCAAAATAGTTTTAAAGTTGTTCAGACATATACAGAGGTTCAATATGTTTTTGAAGCCTCGCCACATTTTCGCAGTCCATGCCACCACGTCCATTCACGCTCTTTCTGACGACCGCGCATCTTGGCAATAGCACTGCAGCATAATTTCCATCACAAAAGGCTCCGCCGTGAGACTATCATGTACAAAGCATACCATTCCTAACTGCATCCTTTTCATAAGATATATATATATAGAGTAACCGCTTCAATAATCCTATCGCACCAAAATCCGTAGGCGCTACGGCAATCAACTGACTGATATGTCTTCATATAGAATAACGTGAGTACCCATTTCATTATCCTGAGGTATGCAATGGTTGAGCTAAAGTGTCGTGGAAGAAGCTTATTTTAAAAAAAAATTCAATTATTCGTGTGTAAAAGCAATTTTGCATAACGCTTGATCAAAAAAGTCGGTAAGTTGCTTTTGTTCTAACTGACTTTGTTCTCTGTCATTACACTTTGTCATTACTTTAAGATAACACCTGGTCTGCCAGTGGAGGCTATAACTGTACAGTTTCACTTTATTATTGAAGTAAACAACAGTATTTTCTCAGGGTAGGTTAGGTGATCTCTCGAGGTTACAACCACCCTTATTTACAAATGGGAATGGCCAATCTGACGTTACTGATTCAACTATCTAAAAATGACAGTTTTAAAGTGAGACGGTCACCCTGGGATAAATGTTGAGGAAATAACGTTAGTATAATTAATCTACTTTTCTTTTCCAGTCGTTTGAAGCCAAAACTCACGCAGTGTTGTCTGTGTTTAAATACAGTTTGTTCCAATGTTCCCTACACACTTGTATCCAGGTCATTTATTTTATACCACAGACTCAGTTAGTTTAAGCAGAACTCAGTATAGCTTCGTAATATATCTTACCAATCTTTCCATTATATAGTGGACCTATCTTATTCATTTTTGGGGTAAATATCAAATTCACCAGAAATAATACAGTTTTTCCAGACAGAGATCCGTTTTGATTATGTTGCATATTGCTGCTTACAACACATAGACGGCTTTTGCCACTGACCTTTGTGTTCACGGATTCTCTGACTTGTTACAAGACGTTGAACCTTGCTTACGACAGAGGAGGAACAACTTATTACAGATTTCTTTTGGATAGTCCTGGTGCTCCGAGTTCATCAATATTCCTTCGATTTCCAATGTTATTAAATATAAGGGATATCCCACTCATAGATATTCCAAATCCTCGATATGAAAATATCTTTATTATCTGAGTTTGTTACAACTTTTGCGTTGGAAAAGGCTGCTACATACCTTTCCCATCCGCCAAACAATATCAAAATGTGGTTCTGATACACGCCTTTCCACCGAGACTCTCTTTCGGCTGTGGTTGTCACGTTATTTTCTGATTTGTAGATTCAAATGAACTCTACCCTGTATTATGTTCAATTGCCAGCACAGGCAGATTAGTAACATTACTTAAGTTTTTCTCCATTTTCAAGCTAATCAAAATTTGGGTAATAATCTAATGCCTATAAGAAGGAACTTTTTGTATTTTTATAAAAACGTCAGAAATGTTTCATTTATTTCATTCTTATTGTATTCGACGTTACTTACTCGTATGTTATTTCAAAAATATCTGAAATTCGCCGTAGTTCCTATTAGTAGAGTTAAATTTTGTTTCTACACTTATTATTTTCAAATAAATTAATAATTTATTATTTTTCAGTTCCAAAATTATTTATTGCATACGGATGACACTTAACTACTAACAAGAGTGAGACATTTGCACTACAAAAACAGTGTTGGTTGTTTAATGTTAGAGAACAAGTTCACAAGGGGTAATATCTGCTTATCTGATAATAGGTATCGATTTTCTTATTTAATGCCACTGTCATCGTTACCAAGTTTATGTGACAGTACAGTGACTTTCATGTTATATATATATATATAGGTATATATATATTGGAGTTACCCAAGACCATCTTCTAATGGCTTCTCATAAAGCATTGTCTATCTTTATAACGAGTAAATCTTCCTGGTCAATATCCTTAAACGTAGACTTCAAATATACGTGTAGCTAACTTCACAAATGCACGATAAACAATTTGTCACACACTGATAAACGTAGATTGCGTAAAAGAATAAAAAGAAAAGAGGTTAAGACTATAGTTTCAGGTTTTGCAAGGCTAAGGTTAATGTCCGAATGCTATCTTTGTTAGTGTAAATTTCAAATGGCATTACCAGTACAAATTATTTATAGAATTGTTCAGCATGAAATATCACTAACATTTCAAAGGTAACTTTAAATTGACGGTGAGAATAAAATGTAAGGATCATATACAGTAGTCTTTGAAATTTGAACATAGCTTTTTGTTTCTTTGTATATTATTAAGCGCAAAGCGACACAATGAACTATCTGTACTGTGCCCACCACAGTATCAAAATCCGGATTTTAGCGTTATAAACCGTCAGACTCACAACTAGGCCGCTGGGGAACTAAACATACTACAGAGCAGTTGTTATTAGTTCGTGAGATTGTCTTCAATAACATCACAGAAGTTTCGAAAATTTTATTTCCAACCATTTAGCGTCTTTTGCATTATACTTGAAATCTTGAGTCGTTAGCCAATATAATGAAGAGGCATAAAATTATAAATATTTAAAAATAACTATAACTTAGCAGTCTAAATTATACATAAAATATCGTTTAGAGAGGTGTTCACTAACGAAAATCACATTAATTCTTTTGAGTGATTAAATCCTTTTTGAAATTTTGTTCTTTTTCTTATCTTAGGCAGGTAAAATCCACATCAGTGAATCTACCAACAAACGACTTCAACATTCAGGATATATTACAGAACTAAGAGGAACTATTAACGTTAAAGTAAGAAACATTATGTATATTATATATTGTTAATATGTTTTTTACTAGATATCATATTAGCATGTTTTATTGTCATCTATATTGAAAATATTTCCAGGGAAAGGGACGAATGAACACTTACTGGCTCCTACACAAGGAAGAAAGCCCTTGGCAATTATCTACAACCTCTATTTCGAAATGAAAAAAGTGTAACTTTTGTGTTTGCTTTTATCATTGGCATGAACTTGGCTGTATCGTGAAATTGGTTCAAAAGATTCTAGTCAATAGAAAAGTTAAAGTGTTTGTATTTTTAAATGATTTAACTATGAAATAATATTTTTTTTACCTTACATAATGATTTAAATATAGTTCATAATAAAAAGGTTTAGAATTTGGGCAAGTTTCTGTAACAGCTTTAATAAGGAAAGTATTTCTATATCTACGCTTTCGTTTCTAAAATTATAAGTACAATTCATCATTAATCTTATTGTTCTTTTCCTTGGGATTAATTTTGTATATTTTTTAATAAAATGCTTGACATTTATATATTTTTTTTACTATTAATGATATATACAGAGGTGTATTGTGTATAACAAATAGGAAATTAAATCACTCTAAAACAATTGCGAATGTTAAATACGGTCTTATAATGTCATAAAACTATCTATGGACATATTAATTACTTTGTTTATTACACATAAGTCATAAATTTGTCATTAGTCATAAATTTGAAATCTTCCAAACGGTAATTTGTTTTTCTTAGCTCTTCCAAAAAATTAAGCTTTGATATTTTTCTGAAATAAATGAATTTAATTTGTTAGTGTGCATCTTTCAAATGGTTTATGTAAATTTAATTAAAATTCGGTGATCTACTTTCATATACTTCATTATTTGTAAAAACGATTTTGTTTTAGAATTGTCTGAATAGTGAAATTTTAATATATATATACATGTCAAACATCTTTGTCGTTGACATATTTTAGTTTTCAGTTTAATTTTAAAGTTTCCTCTAGGTACTTCTAATTGATTAAGGACAAATCATGACCCAACTATCGTCTTTTCTTATCACTTTATGACTGTTTTAGCCTTTCCAGTTTGTCGTATGTTCAGGCTATTTATTAACTTTTGCAAAATTTAGCGTTTTACATATTTATTTCCTATTGATTCTGAAATCATTCAATCGCTCATAGGATGACAATATACACTAAAGCTAATTCGGAATTCTTGTGGATTTTTCATTGATTTCACATTTGTACTCCTTATAGATAATAACTTTTGAGTAAAGAGATACTGATTTATGTTACTGTTCAGAAAATGCTAAATCGAAATTTTAATTGGCTATAAGAATTGTTTTAACTAATTGGGATATAGAAATATGTATACTTCCTTCTCTGTTTCGAGTGTTAAAACGGAATAAATACTCTTCATAATTTTTTCTATTTTAAACAGTTTCGAATAAAAAATCATTTTAAAGCTGATTTCTTAAAATTTTTATTTGCATATGGCCGTGCCTTTTAAATAAAACATACAAATTAAAATCTATACAATAAAACGATTGTTGATACAGTGCTATACAGAAATAAAAAATCACAGGTTTTGGTGCATTAGTTCTAGTGGTAGCCACCTCCTCCATAGCCACCACCGCCATATCCTCCACCACCATATCCTCCACCTCCATATCCTCCAATTCCACCACCACCGCCATAACCACCACCTCCATACCCTCCTTTTCCACCACCACCGCCATAACCTCCACCTCCATACCCTCCTTTTCCACCACCACCACCGCCGCCATATCCTCCACCACCATATCCTCCTTTTCCTCCGCCACCACCGTAGCCTCCCCCTCCATATCCTCCACCACCATATCCTCCTTTTCCTCCGCCACCACCGTAGCCTCCC